TGTTCAAAGGAGGTGCCCATCTGCAATCTTAAGGCCTGGATTTTCAAGCAGTGAAGTTTAAATCCCATTTTAATTCAAAACTCAGTGATAGCTGAATGTAATGTCTCCTGTTCTCTTAAACGCTTTAGAGAGTCCTGAGTCCAGGTAATCTGCAGAGGAATTACAGTGACAAACATTCACCGTGGCAAACCCCTTCTGCAGGGCTCTGAAGCAAGATGGGCCTGACCACAGGCTGGTGTCAGCCATTTGAACTGGTTGCCAAATATTGCTATAATAAAACAACGCTTTTCGGTACCTGTAACGCTGCATAATTGATTGGGATTGAGCAGGTCTTTTATACATATAGGGCTTCAGCCTGCTGTATTTTTGTATGTGTGTGTGAAATTAGTGAAAATGGTTATTAGTAAAACCCTTACCAAAATAATTTCAAGTGATTCTGAGAAGTGTAGGCAAAAAAACCTGTATTAATCCTTCTGGGGGAAAAAATTATAATTAACTTCTTTTTGAAAAGCTCTGACTTCCCAGACTCTTGGGCCATGGCTGGAAATGTCAGAGGGTGGTTCCAGAGGCAGGACTGAACAGGAGTGGGTTGTGGGGAAATCAACAGGGTGCAGAGGCAGTAGAGGTAGCATAGAAAGCTGGCAGGGAAGGAGTGCATATAAGTAAGGAACCAGAGGCAGCAGCTGGGTTTGTGAAGCTTTAAAAGAGAGATTAGGCCTAACAGCAGAGCCTGCAAGAAGGTGATAATCATGACAGTCAGCACCAGGGAGAGAGAAGGGGTAAGAAAGAGGTACCTGGGATGGCGGAGAACCAGGGATGGGAAATAACTGAAGGGGAACAGGCAGTACAGATGGGGGCTGTAATTCAGTAATATCACATTTTATCACCCTTCCACTAAATACCTGTTAAACATACTGGTAAGGCAGTGGTCAAACTGTGCTCCTGCTCTGCAACAATGCTGGTCCCCTCATGAGCACAGCCCACCTGCTGGCAGTTATGTCCTTGCTGAAGCACTAAGATGTTCCCAAAGAGAACCGTTAAGGTCCAAGTCAGACATTGAATCTTACGCATATGAAGGAATTTAGTTTTTACCTAATTTGATTAGAACAGGCTGAGATTATAAAAATGTTTGTAATCTTTAATGGGACTACTGACGTTGCAAAGTCTTGCCCTGAGGAGTTCAGACAGGCAGGAATGGCTGCTTTCTCTGCCTCCTTCCCTCTACTGAGGCAATGACTCAGTCATTGTGTCAGAATAGGAAGTGCTTCCATCACGTTGAGGAGACTGAAACATCACTCCCAGGGAACACAGCAGGAGGCAGCATGTTTCAACCTTCAGCCTGCTGTGCTCAGGACTGAGACAGTACTACCTCTTCTTTCATAGGGGTTTTGTGAAGATCAGTGTTACAGAAGAACCAGAGCTATAGTGCTAAGCACAACAGAAAAGCCCTCAAAGACAGCAACAAGCCTGCAGAGTAGTTTGAGTGCACACAGTACATAAAACAAGGCCAGATCAAATGAGGATAAAACAAATATCAAATAACTGATAAAAGAGCAGCATCCTCCTGCAGGAGGCTGGGGTGCTGGCCAACAGCAGCAGTGTAGAGCAGCCATAGGGACCCCCAACCACAAGGAGACTGAGATACACTTGCATAGCAGCATTTATTTTGCTCTCTCCTAACATCTGAGTTCTTAAGACACTGCCTTCACAATGTTCTCTTATCACAGCTTTGTGATCAGCTAGCTTATGCAGCATGGACAACAATACATGATGAGTACTGACTTGCAAACTTCAGCTTCTGTTTGTAGACATGCACATAGATGGTATCTCAAAGAGAATAAGAAAGAAAGAACTCATCTTTCCTTACACCTGACTCTTACTTTTGCTCACTGCACCATGGGTAACTACAAATGTTGCCCAAGTGCTTCAGCAGGAAGAAAGCTCCTGGTGACAACCATACGAATCTTAAGTTATTGACAGTGCAAACCAATATCACTGATGTGAGTTGACCACTCCCTTAGTGGGGCCTATTTAAAGCAGAAGCTCTGCCTTGGTTACTTCCTAGAAGCAGAGAGTCCCTTGGATTCCTGAGCAGATCTCTGTACATGACCTTGCTCCATGAAAACAAAACCCCTCCTACACAGACTCTTCAACATCTGAAAAAAAAAAAAGCAGCTTCTAATGCAAATTTATGGTGCTAAGGGGAAATAAAAGCCACACCAGTAGATTAATTACCTGAGTCAAGGGGGAAAGAAAATCTGACATGAACCTGCACAACAGTGTTGGAAAAAAAGCTAAAAAACCCTTTTGTCCTTAAAAATGCTTTAAACTTTCTCACTCATCTGACAGATATAATTGCCTCAACTTAGGCTGCCTTTGTAGGAAAATGGAAAGAAACGGGTTTGCTAATGACTCAAAGTAGTTTCCCATTAGAAAAGTTAATATTAAATTTAGTTCCTATTTAGGAACAGGGTCAATAGTACAGCAGAAGAAGTCTAATTAAACCTTTCAAAAATGCCTAGTAGTGTGAGTGAAAAACCGAAGTCTTCTTGCAAAAGGATGTGAACCTGAAAGCCAACAACTGAACTACTTATTCAACTGATGGAAGCAAGATTTCTTTTTTTCATTTTCTGAATGATAATCCAAAATGAGAAGCAGAGAAGCAAGCAGTTCCAACACAGTCTCTCAACAAAAGGAATGTGAGGGAAACACCCAGAGTACCTTTCCCATCCACAGCATCAGGAAGACTATTCCAGGGTGAGACTAATTTCCAAGAAAAAAGTTAACCTTGGCACATTTGTAAACCCACCAAATGCTAGACAGACCATCACTGTGCTTCTCCCTCAATGATCCAGAAGCATCCAACTGCCTACCTAGCAGATGGAGCTCCTGGAACACAGATTCTGCAATTAGTCTTCTCCACCCAAACCCCTTGTTTTGAACTACCTGGAGACTGAAGTTCTACAGCAGAGGTCAGAACCAAGAAAATCAGTGCAAGGCATAAAAGGGAAGGAGCAGAATGAGTTAAAAGTCACAGCCTTACTGAAATGTCTTTCATCAAAGTTCCCAAATTGTCCAAATTCATTAAGATCTTCTTCCACAGTATTTAATTTTTATTTTTGCTGAGATCTCAGTTCTATTTCATGAGAAATATGATCAGAGAGGTACAAATCTACAGCCAAAGATACCTACGTACAATTATAACATGCAAAGACACAGCTTCATATATGAATGTATGTGCATCAAATGCAATATGGGTTTTCTTTATGACTGCCTTGGAAAAAAAACTAACCAACATTCTGACCCTAAACTTAATGGTTTGTGTTATCCAGAGTGGCCTGATTTATTTCAGTGGTAAACTGTGGTTCAATCAGTACTCTGGGTGAAAAAAAAAAGTATTTCTCTAAAACACTGAATATCAGTTTAAACTAGACACTGAGTAACATTTAAGCCACCTCATTTTCAGGAAGGAGAGTCTAGAAAAGATCCTATTATGTCTCAATTCAGCAACAGAACTGAAGGAGACTGAATTTTAAAAAAAAATTCACAACAGAGCTTGTGTAAATCAATATAGGTAATTTACTAGAAGCCAAGCTGTCATAACTTCTGTGAAGGCAGAAATTATGTCCCTTTTCTTAAGGTTTTTTAAAAAAATGAATTGAAACAGTAAGGGAAGGTTTACTTTTCATGATATTTTAACGAAGTCCCTCATAAAATACTAGGAAAGACAGACAAAATTCATTCTTGAACAGCACTGTTAAGATCACCTCCAACCAGCCAACTGCAAAGTCCCATTTCAACCTATTACCCACAACTTAACATGATTATTTAAGAGTGGCCTTTCAACAAATACCAGAAATGGTAAATAAAGTATTTTGAAGATTCCAAGTTACATCATGTGAGAAGACAGAGCTCTCTCCCTCTTTCGAAAGTGGCTGATAGCACTTGCCTGGTTCAGACAGCCCAAAAGACAGTCCAGTATTTGGCCTTGACCTTGAACAGACATTAGACAAGGCCTTAAGTCTGTCCTGCCTCTGCTCAGGCAAATCTTGGTTCATTAGAAAAACAAACAAACAAAACAATAAAACATTCCTTGAGAAGGGGAGTCTCTTAACTATGAAATGAGACACCTTTAGCAATCAGGACATTATGCTGCATAGACAAAATCTTTCCTGCAACATGTTGCTTGACCACCTTACTTCTGACCACCATACAGACAAAAACAACAGTTTTTTCAAGCTTCTCTGCTTCATCACTCAGGCTTCTGGCATTTTTGACTCTTCTTTCCAACCACATACAGATTTTTTAGCCCAATTACAAGTAGTTCTTTCCATAACTGGGTAAATCACCAGTTTTATCAGTATTAGTGATAAAAAGTGGCACTTTAATGAATCAGAGAATATGTTAAATCCCTTCTAAGCTGACTGATTTCAAGCTTTTTCTTAAGAGGCTTGGACAGCTTTGCTGGGATTGTGAAACTACAGTTACTATATGAATCTAACACATAAAATCCACCTCTTCAAGGATTTTTTTCCATACCCTTGACTACACGGAGACATGCAATGCATCTGTATTACCAACTTTCTTCATTTCATCCTTATGTCTGGATCAGGACAGGTAGTCCAAACAGGAGGCAGTGCCAGTGGGGCCTCTGAGCCAAGTAAAAAAGCCTTCTCTGTATTGGGGAAGAAACTGCACTCTTTTGAGGATGGGGATAAATAGGATGAAAAGTGGAGTTGCCATAAGTACAGAATATTAACAAACAGTGTGGCTACACAGGGCACGTTGCTCCCTCACCGAGTGTGTGCTATTTAACACTGTCAGCATCAGAAAGGCAGACTGAATAACTAGTACAAATAGATGAATTTAACTTTTGTTTTGCATCCATAAAACAGTTATATGCATTTTGAATCCAGAAATGTAACAAATCATCGGCTGCCTAAAGCCATTGTTAGTGCTTATCTTTATAATAAAATTGCTTAAATTAACAGAACGCAACCTTTACTGGCTATGTAACATTTTACTGAGTAATTACAAGTTCCAGACATGATACAGAATGTACCAAATTCAAGTATAATTACAAAACAAAGAACATATGCAGATAAGTATTTAAATGTCTACACCTCACAAATCAAAATGACTTCCCCATACTAATATGGAGTAACCAAGACACACGATGAAAAAGCCAATACACCAAAAAGCAAGAAGGGCTACTGGGGGAAAGGGGGAGGACATGAGGGAGGGGGGTGAATTTGATTAAAAGGTTGCATGGAGAAATAGATTTCAGCTTTGACATTGCCCTTTGAAAGTTCTACCACCAGTGAAAATCCTCACTCTTGAGTTTCAAATTTAATACAATTTTGGCAATAGCCAAAACGCTTTCCAAATGCTTTAGGCATTTTTTAAATGCTTCTCACTTAGTCCTTCAGCATATTTAATTTGAAAAGAAACTTACAAAATCCCCTTTATATTACATCATATATACATCATTGCAGTGTTTTTCTTCTGACTTCAGAAGCTGATCACAACCTCAAAAGTTTTAAATACAGTCTAAATTTAGATTACAAAAATCAAACTTATGCTAGATTGTGGACCTTTATTCCACTATTTTACCAGACGTTTTCTTCCCATAACAGCACTTTGAATGATGGTTATACAAAAATTTGACTGGGTTTACTGTTAGTATAATACTTTTAAAAAGTAACCAAGACTCTATTTTAATTGGTGGCTTTGACTTACACAGAAAAAAAATGTACACAAATACTTCATGTAATATAGAATATTTTCTGCCTATCTATAGTAATCTGCTATAGTATTTGTCTGTGGTATTTAAAAAACATACATTGTTTTCAGATTACATTTTAAATGTTTTAGCCACTTTTCATAATGTTATTCAATTAGAAATCTTGTTTATCCAGAGATATTTAAGCAACTTGAAAAATACGGACTAACGTGTTCAGCAATGATTACAGTCCACTACAAGAATTCTGTAGACATTAGAAGAGAGCACCTTTTTTTCCATAACATGTTCAGTATGGTTCAGTCATTTCCTGTCTAAAAGAATTCATTCATTTTCTCTTTAATTCACTCCAGCTCCCATTTCCACAATTAACATTCCTCAGCATCCACTCACCTAACACATACCTCACCAACAAAGCTCCAGATTGAGATTACACCACCACCCTTAGTTGTTAAACTAAGTTTTCAGAGGACAACAGAGGCACACTGATTTTCAGTACAGGAAAAAAACCATGAGTTTTTGCTGGGGGTGGGAAGAAGGAATTACCCAACTATAGGAATATTGCTAAAATAAAATGTCCCACTACATAGTTTTATGCATTCTAATAAAATATTCATTTCTTAACTGTTTCTTTCTTCTCCAATCATCATTTCTCATTTCTGGGCAAGTTTTTTAGATTGTGTTCATCCTTTCCTTTTCCCAAGTGCTCAATATCTTGGGTCTTTTTCCTTCTTTGTATTCTTTTCTATTTACCACACACTTTTAGTTTGTTTTCTTTTGCTTCAGCAAACCCTGACTGACTGCAGTTTCTACAGTCCATACAATCACTTAGAGCTCCTGGTGCATTTTATTTTCCTCAAAGGACATGTATTTCAAAAATCTGACTACTGTGCTTCAAACCCTGGATTCCTATTGCTTTTTTTTTATGTAATAAAGATTTTTCGATGTAATAAAGTACTTTCGATCTTACTTATTGTATCTCACTAACAAGAAAGGAAAAATTACTTAAGCTGCACAATCCCTCTATAAAAAAATTTTTTTTTGTACATCTCAACTTGTCATTACATTATGCAGGTAAATTTAGACTTGAAATTCATTCCTGGGAGAAAGATAATTACTTCAGAATTTTATCTTTTACAGAAAAAAAACCCAGAAAAACATATTATTACCATTCAGCCAACCTGGACTTTAGCTACATTAAGATCATTCAGTATATTGGAACACTAAAACAATTTTTTTAAACATCACAAGTTTTACAGAATTATGAGACACTGCACAGCATGTAAGCAATCTTCCACAAAGCAGAGAGGCCAGTATTATTTTGAACACAATTTGAAAAAACAGAACGTGCAAGGCCAGTCTACAAAAATAAATTATTTTAAAACACCACACGTTAATTGAAAAAAACCTAGAATATAACTTTATTGTTAGGTAAATCCTTACTACTTTTTTTTAAAATCAACACAAAAGAATCATCATGTAATTGCATTTATAATTAAAAAAAAAAAATCCACTCCTCCATACTTTGTAAGTTTTCTTTAATTCTGAGGATTCTATAATGTAAATGTATTTGCTAATAATTTAAAAAACAAAACAAAACATTAAAACAAAAGCAAACTTAAGTCCTGGACCCACATCACCTCAAGTTTTTGACTATAAACACGGTTAAAGAAAAAAGCAGTAAAAATATCAAATGTGTTAAAAACAAACTGCAAATTGTAACCTAAAAATTAAAATGTAACAGTTTGGAATTACTTTTCCTTTCCAACCTGACAGGCTCCATGAATCAGTATTTTCCATCCTGCATGACATGTAAACTTACAAGGTACTGCTGAAACCAGTCTGCGTGCCTTTTTGTGCTACATCACCATCCAGGGCACTTTAAAAATGGACCTGGGTCCTCAGACTGCTTGACTGTAACGTACTAAAAAACATTCAAGTTCTGGCTTCTTAAATTTATACTGTGTTGCTATAATCAATAATGTAACTGGGAAACAAGGAACTGAATTCTGTCTTGGAATACAAACAGAATGTGTGTGGATGGGTATTCTTCTGATGCAAATAAGGAAATGAGGACCAGAATTCAGATGAATTACATCTCCGATGAATAAATAAGAAAATAAAAACAACATTTTTAGAGGCTCTCGGAGCAGATGTCCTGTAAGAATATAGACTCGTCTCCTTTTGAAAACAGTAGGGGAATCCTTTGCTATTGACATAACATTTACTAACCTCAAAGGGAAACTTCTGCCCTGCAAAGTGCTTACTGGCATTACTCATTCATCAGTAACTCCAGCACACAAACCACTTCGATCACGTTGGGCTGTCTTCACTAACCTCCATAGGAAGAATATTTTCCCAGTTTTACTTCTCTTCAGGTTTTTAAGATTTTTGGAATGACTGGCTTACTAACATGTTTATTCAAATTCAAAATCTATATAAATATTCTAGGGAAAAGAAAACAGGGTATGCGTCACCAGATTCCAGTGCTCTTCATGAATAAGACTAATGCCAGCACAGTGCATACTGAGATGAGATGAATTTTACATGGCAGGGTGAGGAGAAAGGTAAATTATTTATAAGGTGCCTTATTTATTTGAGACGGAAGACTTCCAAATTGTCTTTAAACTGCATTTCAAATCATCAGGCTTAAATATACTAACTAGTTCTACAATAGGAGAAAACCAGATAAAGCAAGCTTTTTTTTTTAATTATCCATATTAAGGTATTATGCTATAAAGAAGCCACCAGTGAATAGGGATTATGGACAAAGATACTGAAGAGATCCTTTCACCCACAGTTACTGTATGGGAAGTCCCATCTGTAACTTAACCCTGGAATGTTTTTCTACTTAAAATGACCAGCATGCAAAGTGCTTTGCAGTTGCCAAAAAGGCATGCTATTTTAAATTCTCATAATTCACTGGTAAGTGACACTTATTATGAAAAAAAATACTCTAAAAAGCTTTTAGTCAAATCTAGACATATTGGTCTCCACAATTATTTGCTGCAATGCTTATAATTTAATCTTAAATTGATTTTTGAAGACTTGTGTTTCATACCAACACTTCTTTCAGCAAGTCAGTCATTATTCAGCAACTGAGTTACTAGGATGGTCTTATTACTATTTCTCACCCATAAGCAAATTTTATTTTATGTTAAAGTGCATAAACAAATTTCCTCAGTGTTATTTATATACAGTTATTCCACTTATATTTCAACTTTGTGCTCAGTACTCATGGCCTTATTAATAGAGACTGGGTCTCAAAGAATCTGGTACAGCTTGGGTACCTACTGCAGAAAGCCTTGAGGCCAATTAGATACAGTGCTAGAATTCCATATTTCAAAGTTATAAACGAAGCACTTATCTCAGAATTGTTGAGGACCACTGATAGAATTACTTTACTTTCCGAATCAAGTACGGTCAACTTTTAAATAAGACAAAGTAGCTTTGAATTCAGATAACAAAATATCTAGAGGTAAATAAATTAAAAATACAATGTATTCATTTGTTTAATTATAAATAATTCATTTTTTACTATTGTATATTCCAGCTACATCTCTTGCACCTTCTAGAAAAGACCATATCTGGCAATAGAGCCTATTAAAATATAAAAAGCCAAAAATGCCAGGCAACTTTTAATAAGCACTACCATAAATACCTCCCAGATTACATCTGAAGATAATTACAAATAAGAAAACAAGTGTCAGAGCAGGGAAAAAAAAAGAACAAAACTTAAGAAGAGGAAGTGCACCAAAATTCGTACACAGTAATTTTTCACAGTAGCTTAATATACTCTGGCTAAACCCATACATTTGGCTCCACTGAGGTGAAAAATCTTATTTTTCTGAAGTGCAGTTGGTAATCTTGGTAATCATAATGGTGGCAAAAAGCAGGTTTCCAGGTCATGGTACTTGAGAGAAGGCCAGCGCCCATTTGGAAGAATTTATCTCATAGAAAAGCAATTGAAATAGTTTAAGATTGGCAGGTTCCACTGGAACAAACTCTTCCTAGCTAATCTTAATATCTCCCAAGAACCTTTAATGATATCTTGAAAGAAACGAAAGAAGTGCAAACTGACTGCAAAGGGACACAAATGGAAAATCTAAGTGTGTTGTATAGTTTCAGGCAGCTGTATTTGCCTAACTAAACCTCAAGTCTTAAGTTCTGAATCACAGTAAATGCACTCGGACAGACTCTCCTGTGGAATTTAACTCATGTAGCTTTTGAAAACTGATTTTGCCATGGAAATTTTTGTCTGCAAGTCTAGCACTCTTCCAGAAACAAAAGCAGTGCTAACAGTCCAGGAAGCCTACAGCAAAAGTAAGCGAGGTATGGTGCTGAGGTCACTGCAATTTCCGAAGCTTTTCAGCCCTTTACGTGGCTTCTTTCCAAAGGAGTAGCAACCCAAAGATTTCTCCTGTTCAACTCTATAGTATCTCCAAATCCACATGACGAACATCAGGATTTCGTTGCTGAAATAAAAATTTTAAAAAATATATTGAAAATATTCACATTTTTGCACATAGTTACCAATAATGTATTTCTAGTATGATGTTGGCAACTGGATAACAAATCCCCTTTTGGGGTAACATAGGGACTATTTTAAAATGAGGAAGAGCTTCAAACATTACCCATACTATAAGCCATGTTTTGAAGCCATGTTTTTATTTGACAAATACTTCTCAACATCACAGATAAGTTAGTTCTTATGCTTTAAAAGGTATGAAGCAGCTATTGATTTTAAAAAGGCAGTTAGGTTTTATATAAAACTGTCCAAACAAACATACGTATATACACATATCTCACTTTCTTAACAAGTACTTTGCTGAATAATGGGTAAGATTGCTAATATGATTTGTTCTATACCACTAAAGCTATTTATAAACATTCAAAATACTGTTTCTATTAAGAAATATGCATTTTCTGATATTGTAGAAATATGTTATCATTATTACACTGATTGTATAATTCATAAGAAAGTCACTGACTTTAAAGTCACACAGTATGTGAACCTGATTAGCATATTTAGTAAAGCACATTCAAAACCAACAAAATCACTGAAATCCCTACCTACACCAAAAAACATTATTCACGTTTTTAAAATAATTAGTCATGATCCTACTCCTTAAAAACCTTGAAGAACTGGTTCTGCTGGTGCAACTAAATTCAAAAGTAATATTTTGATTTTTAAACTGTACAACCGCAGAGACAGAAACTAAAACTAGAATATTTATCAAGTGCAATAAGCAATGACAGACATGCTCTCGAGTAGTGTCTCATGGCCAGAAAAAGCAGTCATGGCAGGACTATTTGTCTGGCAGTCAGTACGCTTGTAGTTCTGAATTCATGCCAGAAAGATAAGACTGACAGCCACAATATACCTGTAAAATTAAAAATGGAAACAATCCTTTGTTGCATCAGCCAAAGAATATTTAAATTACAGGATGAAAAAAAATACGGAAGTTGAGAAGCTTGTGAAAGAGGTAAACACTGCACTGCTTCAACAAGAGCAAAAGATACTGAGTAACATTCCCATCCCACAGATACTTGACACAATCCTAAGCACCATATTAAAAAAAAAAAAATTGAAATCTGTTTTTATGCATCCAAAACTGAATTCGACAGCCTATAAATAATCTGACTTCCTGAGAATACAGTAATAAAGACGAAATCAGGTCTATTTAATGAAAATAGTGTTCTATGTTGGTACAAAATGAAACAAAATATACAACAAATGGATCAGTGGCAAAGTAAGGGTTTGCTGGTGGTCAGAACTTAGTTAATAATACTATAGGAATATTAACCCCTTATCTCTCCCATATTTACAAATGAAATTCCAAGAAGTAGATGCAGTGATACTGTTTAAAATATATCACAGAATAAGCACTTCCTATTAAGCAGTTAAAATTTACCTTCAGGTCCTTTTCAAGTCTGTCTACTTCAGCTCCCAGAGTGTCAATGATATTCTCACCATGCTTAAGCATGAAGGCTTCTAATTCTTCAAGGGTTTTCACTTGCTGAATTTCCTAGGAAGAAATTAAATTTAAGAGATTGAGATGAGGGAAAGAAAATAAAGGAATAACACTCCAGAGGGTCTTGACATATTTCAAGAGGAGAAAAAAGAAAAAAACAACTAAACAAAACACTTCAGCTTTTGCCATTTCCTTCCAAACATCATCTGTTCTTATGTCTCAAAGTCACAGAAGAGTAGTATCTATTCAATGGAAACAGTTGGCTCTACCATTACACCTGCATATGATATAAAACCTTCTTCTATCTTTAATTGATTTCCTCCTTAACTTTACAAGTAAGTTTAGAGAATTTAATTCATTTTCTTGAAGTTTCTGGAGTATTCATGGCTCACAGCAAGGCAGAGCAGGGTACCCCTGTGTATTCTTTCCCCATTTTCATACATTCTTGCTATTCCATTACACTGTCTACTCTGGGCATCACATAATCAACTCATCTGAAAATCCAAAAGAATTACTACAAATGCTGCTGCAAATACAGCTCCTCCATAGTATCAAAAACTTGAAGATAGTTGACAGGAACTCAGACTAGGAGACCCGTAGCATATGAAACTGAAGGAATGAAGTTAAGAAAGACAGGATGTTATACCCCACCCTCCAAAAAACGAGACATCAGCAACATCAAAGCAGGTATTACAGTATTGCCATAGAATCGTACAATGGTTTGGGTTGGAAGGACCTTAAAGATCACCCAGTTGCACCCCTGCTGCCCTGGGCAGGAACATCTTCCACTACACCAGTTGCTCAGGGCCCCATTCAATCTGGCCTTAAACACTTACAGGGATGGGGCATCTGCAACTCCTCTGAGCAGGCTGTTCCACTGTCTCACCATCCTCACAGTAAAGAAATTTTTTCTTATATCTAATTTAAATCTATCATCATTCAATTTAAAGTCATGAGCTTCCCTTAGCAATCACATCCTAAACTGGCCAGAAGCCATCTGCCCTGTAATATCTCAGCCATAGTTCAGGTAATACAGCTCCAGGATGTTCAGGATAAATCTGTTATTGCAAACAGATACAGTAGCTACTAAATAGTTAATTCTTGTGTATATAATTACAACACAACACCAGTTTTTTTCCCTTCCCCACTGCTCTAAAACTGAAGAGGAATAATGTAATTAAGTAAGTTTAAAAGATCTCAACCAAAACAGCCCATGACTATGATCACATCAAGTCTAACAAGAAAAAAAAATGAGATAATCTAAATGACAGCATTTCAACATACATTTCACAACTGTAGGAAGAGCTGACAGCAATGCTAGTTGAATGAGCTAGTTATTTGAAAATATACAGATCAAAAGGTAAGCACGATGTCTGCCTTTGACTTTGCGTGGCTGAGTCCTACTGAAAGTGGCTATCCTTCAACAAGGGTTTTAGAGCTGACAGGACGTTACCACGTGAAAGAACAATGACCTCCGTAAGAAACAGTTGCCAAACTAGAAACAATCGACAACATCTTTCGCAACAATATTAGAAGTATTGGAAGAACTAATGAAGGTTGTATGCAATCACCCAAGGGAATAGCAAGGTAAAGAATAAAAGCTAACCAAGCCTTTGCAAAGAAGACTAGCTTACTAAACAATGGCAACAGCAAAGCAACTGGCAATATAAAACCAAGTAAACCTGCAGTGCCTCAGTGGTACAAAGCTCTTCCTCTCAAAAATGTATTACACTGAAAGCCAGTATATGAACAGATCAGTTATTGCACTATATATATATATATACACACTTTCTTATTTTGACATTAACTTGTTTTAAAAACTGGGACACTAAATTTTACATTGCAATTTTTAAACCATTTGTCAAAGGTAAACTCAGATAACTTATAAGCTGTGTTTAACAGAGACATAAAATGCAGACATCTGACATCTTCATTTCATTTTGAAAGGGTAGCAAAGAAATAAATCTTGTAGGTACACGAGCAAATGTATATACAGAAGGTATCAGTGAAAACTGGTAAGAAAGCAAAACATTTTGCTCACTTAAAACTCTTTTAATTTAGATAATTTATTATTTACTTCATACTTCATTGCTTTGCCATATAGAATCCAGCTAAGAGCAGTTTTGCATTTCTATACTGAAAAGAGGGAATAAGAAAAGCTACTCGGAACTACACTAAAATCAGACTGACACTTCAAGATGTTTAATTGTTAAACATCATCAAAATGCTAAATCACATGATGCAAGCAATCCATATTCGAGCCAAGCCTGAATGGCCAGACCTGTAAAGCCTAACACTGCATCACCAACAGCCAAGGCATATGGCTCTGCCAACAAAGGTATTTATTTGCAAGTGACAGGTTTCTAGGTTTAACTATAGATCTTGTAATTCAACAAAAAAGTTATTGGAATAATTATATTCTCAAAAACATTTTTTTACAAGTCTGTATTTTCTAACAAAAAATAAATTAAAAAAATCTGCCCTCCTACCCAGGCCCTACTCAGCACCAAAGTGTCTCTTTTTCAGCAGCACATTACACAATTTCATGTACAGGCATTTAAAACACTACCACAAAGTAACAACATCTGCAACCCTTCAAAATGAAGAAGTGAAATATATCTCACCTACTTGTAAATCTTGGGTTTAGACATACTTGAAATTGGAATGTATCAAATACTAGGGTTACAAAACCATTTTTTAAACATACTTGTAGCAGCTGTTCAATGTCTTGTTTTTCCAGGTAAGACCGAGTAACAACACGTCCATCAAAGTCTACTTCTGCCTTGAATCTCACTTTGCTCATTCCCATGTCTGTAGCTTTAACATCATGAATCGCTCTGAAACACATAAATTTTTAAAGAAAATGTAAAATAACATAAACCAAACCACTCTGATGTTAACAATATTGTCACAGAAAAATGATCCTTTTAAAAGGCCACTGTCTTTAAAAAAATATCCTCATTTTGCCACCACACTCTTCTATTAAATACTGATTTATATTTAACAGGTTATACCATTTCCACAGGTTTCTGCAACACCAACACATCTATAAATAGCTCACTGCAATAACAGACAGACTACAAGAAGCATCGCAGATTTAGAATTAGTTTAACAGTATATTTAAAAAAACCCCAAAATTCCACAATTAAAAATGTGAGAACTTCCCTACTCCACCTTAAAAGTTTACCTTCACCTTATTTGCTACTGCACAGAAGTTCTTTTGTGTATACATGACACTATGTAACCATCTTTAAGTACCTTTAATTCTGAGGTAAGAAATGCATTGTTATTTACTGAAAGGAAACACTGAAATTATGGAAGTGTTCTTTCCTACACTTGGTAAAGGCATGAACTTCTGAAGAATTTTCAGATACATTTGATACAAGAAAAAGTTATGGATATTGTATTTGGAACTCATTTTTGATCATCCTGAACAGCTGATCATGACTTACCAAAATACAGCTACCTGTAAATGCTAAAACTGTATATTTATTTAAAGGTTTCTAGTCAATACTAGAATATGAAAGCTGAAATATGTTTATATTTTGGTTCTTTAAAAATTTCTTTTTTTTTCTATAGCACAGTTTTGTTCCAGTTTGCTAGATAAACTCAGTGATGTGTGAATATAGGTAGTAAACAAAAACCCTCTTTTTTTGAGGGATAAGAAACAAACTCAAGACCAAGACATATTGTGATGCTTTTCAACAATGAAATAAATATAAAATAAAATACTCAATTTTTTTCTAATGAGAGTGACAAAAACTCAGTTTATATTTAAAGCCAAGAGAATTTAGAATTGCCACTGCAGAGAAAAAGTTTCCCCATTTTTCCATCAAGGTCAGAAAACAAACAAACAAACAAACAAGCAGAGACTAAAATAAGGAATATAAATCACAGACGTTTCAAATTTTTTAAATTCTTGCCTCTGACATTCCCAAAGCAAAACAAGTATAAAATATTCCAAAGGCTTTTAGTTTAATTAATGAAAAAATGCATTCTTGACAATTTTTAAATTCTAACACAAAATTTAGATTCAGCAACACAGCTCACTTGAAAGTACCAAACTTAATCCCCGTTCATTTTGCCAAGTTGTGCAATTTCACAGAATCTTTACATTTTAGCATGCCCTTTGCCTTAAGCAAATTTGGTCTTCCCAACTAGAAATATTTCTTTTCATCTGAATGTTTATAAATCATAACTAACTTCACAGTAGGTGCAGGAAGAAAGCAGAAGGCATGTTATCTTGAAAGGAGCTTGCTAGAATGAACAGCCAAAAAAGAACAGGAGACGGAAATTTTAAGATGAACAATCACAGGAAATTTTTATGGAATACTTCTTGCAATACTCAGGGTAGAGGAGAGGTAAGCACATTCAAAAAACAGAGCATGAACTAAGTATAGAGACATCAAAAAATAGACCTTAGTATATATTTAAGCAGATTAAAAGAACTATCAGTTTACTTGTATATAATAAGTAAATAAAGACTTTCCAGCTCCATTCAAATTTACACAGCTATTCTGTGGGAAGGTACCAAATCAAAACTGTATTTACTGGAGTAACCTGGCTGGCATCAAACTACCTGGTCACAAAGAAGGTATTTAAGATAACAGATGTGGTTACTGAAGAGAATTTGAAGCCATGTGATTCAAAAACATTGAAGACATACCAAGTGCCTATCAGAGCTAAGCAATAATCATTAACCTGATAAATTTCAGTGAAATCATGCACATTCTGCAAATGTGGAGGAAAAAAGTCTACCTTACTGCACATAATCTGTCCAGGAAAGATAAGACTGAGTCAAGAAGAGAAAAATCACTAATCATTCAAAAATGCAAATGTGTATGCTAAAACTTAAGCTAGAAACTTGCTTGTGGAAGCTTCTGGATGGTTAGTGGACACCATCAATTTGAACTAAGGAAAAAAGCAAGTTTTACATTAAAGAAAAATTTGTCAGAGAACATCAAGTTACTGGGTTTGAGCAATCAGTTGTAATTTTTTTCCCTCCAAAACAGAATGACAGATTTTACAGCACAACAGTAGCACAACTACACAATAGCTGTCACAATGAAGTAAAATTAAAGATGAAACTATCACTAGGGATAGTTTATCCCTAGGAATCTATGATTACATTGCATAAAACCAGAATCAGGACAGTCTATGCATCATCACATATTTTATTTCACAGTTCTGAAAGGCTAATCTCCCACACTTCAGTTAAGTTGAATACATGAAAGATTTAGGCACCAAAGGTGTCAATAGAGTTAAGAATGGAATGTTTTTATACCAAAAATAAAATCAAATAATTTTCCAGCCGAGAGCAACTTCGAATGTCCATTCTGGATCATGAGTTAAATATAGGCTACAACTAGGAGTTACCAAGAAAAATGAAAAGAAAGGAGAAATAAATAGCAACAAGCCTAAAAGAGAAATTATGAAGTCCAACAAACTGATAGATGAAACATAATACAAAGTTATTGAGTGCAATACAAACCAGCTTTTTTTAAGGGATTGGAAATGCACATGACAAACAGCACACAGAAAGGGGCAATTGTGCAGTTGCCATATGAGCTCTGGGAGGTGGTTTACAGAATCACAGAATATACTAAGTTGGAAGGGATCCACAAGGATCATTGAGTCCATCTCCTGGCCTTGCATAGGACCATCCCGAAGAATCACACCATGTGCCCGAGAGTGTTGTCCACTTCTGGAACACTGTCAGGCTTGGTGCTGGTACCACTTCCCTGGAGAGCCCATTCCAATTTGTCAAGGTCTCTCTGCAGGGCCTCCCTGCCTTCAAGGGAGTCAACAGCTCCTCCCACTTTTGTGTCACCTACAAACTTGCTTAGTATCCCTTCCAGTCCTGTGTCCAAGTCATTTATGAAGATGGTGAAGAGCACAGGGCCCAAGATGGAGCCCTGCAGAACCCCACTAGTCACCAGTCTGATGTTACCCCATTCACTGTTACCCTCTGTGCTTGACCCGTGAGCCAATTGCTCACCCACCACATGATGTGTTTATCCAGCTCCGTACTGTGAGAGACAGTATCAAAAGCTTTACTGAAATTCAGAAAGATTACATCAACTGGTTTCTCTTGATCCCTTGGGTTACCTTGTCATAAAAGGAAATCAGGTTGGATAAGCAAGACTTTCCTCTCATGAAGCTGTGCTGGCTGTGACCAATGATCGTGTTGTCTTTCAGGTGTTCCCAGAATAATCTTCTCTATAAATTTACCAGGCACTGAAGTGAGACTGACAGACCTGTAGTTTCCAGGGTCCTCCTTCTTGCCCTTCCTGAAAACTGGGACAATGTGTGCCAACTTCCAGTCAGCTGCGGATTCCCAAGACCACACAAAAAAATCACTGAGAGAGGTTTTGTGACGACATCAGCCACCCCTTTGAGGATTCTGGGATGAATCCCATTAGGCCCCATAGATTGCAGGAATACAGCAGATCCCTCACAATTTCAGGGTCGACTGGGAGTTGATCATTCTCACAGTCATGACCCTCCGGCACAGGGCAATAACACCCCCTTAGTCCATCATCCATGTCGAAACAAACAAGCCATCCATGAAGAGGTAAACCTCTGACTTGTCTCTGTCCCTATTTGTGATGTGACCATCCTCATCCTGTAATGGGGTGATAGTTCTATACTGCCTATTGCCATTAATGTATTTGAAAAAAATCTTTATTGTCCTCCACATTTCTGGCTAGCTTCAACTCCAGTGGAATTTTCTCCCTAAAACTTCACCTGACAACTCAAGGAAAAACAGTAACAAAGGTGGGGAAAAGAATTATGTATTAACAACAGTAATTCCAGTTATTAAGGTTTTAAGGAATATAGGTCTTGTCAAACAATCCTGCAAAAAAAATAATTTTTTTTAAAAAATCAAGATTTAGCTGAAAAAATACCAACATCAGAAAGATTTTTTATTTTAGTAGTACAGCAGTTAGTACTGTCTGATAAATCAAATACTTTATAATTAGTAGTGGGTCATGATGTTCAGGCAAGCTACCACTGGAACAGTAAGTTAAGTGATGGTGGTGCTAACCAGGTGGTGCTGGGGGAAGTAAATATCAGAGCCCCTGGATCCTTTGGTCAGTTTGGATCTAAAATACCTTCTGATGAATACTAAAGGATTCCATAATACACCCCCTTCCTATTTGGCAAAGTACATCTGAAAATAAACATTATAACCCTTGCTTGAAAGAACAAGGGAGGACTATTCTGGGAACCAGCAACTGCAAAAAGCATTGCACTGAGAACTCAAGGGTTTGCTGGATAAAAACCCTGGAAGGTTGAAATAAAATGAGCAAATATTAATCACAGCTTCAGAAGTACTGAAGTAGACCAGTACTCAAGAGCTTTTTCGTTTATATCTGGTGTTAGCAGGATATGTAAGAGTAGGATATACTATAACACAGCTCCATTTAAGAAAATGCGAGGGTTTGAATGTTCAAGAAAATGCTGACATTCTTACAAGTCCTAAGCTTACGTTGATGAAAATGTATCAGTGGCCTTTTGAAGAAATATTTGATGTTAAAAGACTTCCTCCTTTCACAGGAAAAAGCTGAAAATAAAATAAAATTTAAAACAAAAACCAAACAAACAAACGAACAAACAATAACACTAACTAACCAAAGGCTGGAATGAGAAATAAAAATTTAGAGCAGCTTTTACCCTAAATTATACCTAGTAACAAGCAAGGGTAATATAAGTTTACATCACAGAGAATTCTGAGATCAAGAGCAGGTATCTTATTAAAAGATGTAAATTAACCAAGCTAAAGATAGCAGGCATGTTGAAAGAACTTGGTCAAAGACAGGGAGCACTGAAAGAAATCAAAGCTGATAATATAATGGATTTAAGAAAGAGACAACTGAAGACAAAGTGCATACAGAAGGTATGAGAAGTACCTAAACATGTTTCAGCTTCAACCTCAAGAAAAAAACACGTAGTTTCTCATGAAATCTTTACTTCTTTTATTATTCATGCTTTTTTAAAATTAACATACTTGTTGGTTTAAAAAAAAAATGTCTAAAGCAAAAAGGAGATGAACTAGGTCTGCTCTGTTGAAAAGTTAGAGCCATCTGCAAAATGGAATACAATGTAAAATGGTGCTTGGCCTAGGAGAAATTTTACTATTTCAGCCTGAGACACGTAAAAGCCATTTGTTCACTTTGGAAAAAAGAGCTACAGAAGCCATGTACAAATAATCATGTGAACTCACCTACTCTAATACAGCACTGTTGACACATGCTTCACCATTCAGACTAATTCAGGACAACCACAAATACTTTAAAATAATTTAGTTACTGATTTAAAAATTCTAACACAACTCTATTCCAAATAGGAATCTTGTTTAGTTTCTGGAATGAAGGGCATGTGGTGCAGACCTCTTGCTTGCAACTGAGATGATGCAGCACTTAGTTTCTTTCACATATTCTGGTATTAAGTCAGGGGCTTAGGGTTTTTTCCTCCACAGCTAAGAAACAACTACAAATAAAAAAAGTACTACAATATTTCAGCTTTTTTATATAGTACTACATTCCTGAATAAAGACTAAAAAGAAAACAAAAAGGGGGTTGCTTCTAAATCAAGGTTAGTGGGGTTAAAGCTAAAATAGCTCCTTGAAAAGAATTTAAGCAAGCTTTCAGAATTACAATGACCTGTAAGTTTACTACAAATTGCAGATTGGTAAAGAAAATTAGCACTGAGTTAATTTTATAAGCACCTAAAATCTAGAATCTATTACATCATAATACTACTGCAGTACTTCTTGCCAATTGCTACAGAATTCCAGACACTGAATATTAACTAACAGAATTTAAATATTTAAGTGCTAATAAACTATAAAAGCAACAGAACAGTATCATTTAAGTGCTTTCATTTCATGCATTTGGAAAGTTTTAAGTTTGTGATGGCTTTCTCATTAAGTCATTGTCAATTCCTGTAATTAAACTGTCAATTCCTGTAGCTGTTAAAATATATCTGCAATCTTATTTCAGTTGTGGAACATCCCAGAGGTACAAGTATTCATTTACTGAAAGTTTTAGCACAGAAATAGAAGTTAGCAATAATAAAGATTCTAAAATCTCAGTACAAAAGAATCCACACTAAAAATAATCTCAACAGATTTCTCTCAGTTAAAGCACTTGAACTATTTTATCCAAATGCTGTTTTCTTGCTTTTTGTTGTTCTTAGTAGAGATTGAGCTGTGGAGATTCTTACCTTACTACAGGATCACTTTCTAGTAACTCGGTGAGTCGCTGCAGTTGTTCAGGTTCAATGGATCGTCCCAGAAGGGCTTCAGTGTTAGTGTAGATCAGAAATGCTGAGACAGTTCCTAACAAAGTTCCAACACCTAGAGACCCCACACTGTCATAATATGGGTTTCCTAAAGAAGATACATCAAATTAGTTTCACAGAGGTTTTCTAAAACGTAGCAGAGAATTCCAATTTCACATGGAGAAGTGTACACAGTTTTGAGAGTTTTTTGAGTTTTGCTTTTTGGTTGATTTTCTTTTTGGTTTGTGTTTTTTTGGTTGGTTCGTTGGTCTGTTTTTTGAGGAATTTTTTTTAATTCAGTGGCAATTCTTTCCAATATGGAGGAACAAGACGAAGTTGAAAGAAAACAGGCTATCTTAAGATAAAGTCTTAAGTTCCTCCTGTCCCTTGGCCATTCCTGTCTCCTGCAGGACTAATACACAACTAAACTCTTGTCAGCTATATGCACCTAAACATAAGGAATAGAAAAAAGTCAATGTTCTTTTATTAGTAACTCAAAAATTTGCAAGTAATAAACATTTCTGGAATACAGTACTTCTTATATAAGACGTTTCACTTATTCATTCCTATTCAGATCTGTAGAAACAGTATTTTTAAGTTTGTGAAGGAAGCTAGAGATGAAAAAAAATTACTTTTATACAAAAAATGAAACTTGCAATTAACTCATTAGAAGCCACAAAGAAACAAAATTACAATCTTTAATGTTTTAAAAAGTCAACACTTCAAAAGGGATAAATCTTTAGAAAACTTCACTGTGCAACAGACATACTTTGAAACACTTGCCATGCAGACCATCCTACCTGTATGAGTTAGGTTTGCCACACTGCTCAGGAGCAGCTATTGTTACTGAAGATGACACTAATGTTACTATGTATCAAAAGAAAAAAAGAACTGCTTCCTTAAATCCTCCCCACATGCACATGCAGTTGTGCACCATTTACTAAGGAAGCTCAAATTATGTAATCCTAACATGGCACAAAGTGGTAACTGACTGCCATAAATATTCCTTTAGTAAAACATAACTTAGTTTGTATGCCAAAACAGCTCAAAAGGAAGTTAGACCCATCTGCTTAACAGAATACAAGTATCAGAAAAAAGAGTAGAGACACCAATATTAACTAAATGCTCTGTGTTCCTATCACACACAGGAGTAAATCCACATCGTGCTTTGCCTCTGTGCAGAACTTTACCTGTTAAAGAAGTCAGACCCATACAGGTAGCAGCTACAGCCACGCTCAAAACTGCTGCAGCATCCTCCAGTAACACCACATTTGTACTAGGATCACGACTCTGAACAACTGCACATACAACAAAAAATAAATTAATTGCTTTGGAAAGCTTAGCTTTATTACATTATGCACAGTACTTAAACTAGACTAACAACAGCAACTTAAAAAAAATTTCCAGAAGTATATAGGTGTAAACTGAATTTTTGCAAATGCACACACTTCTGAAAGCATTTATAAATACACAGAACAAGCCCAATTATGGAAGCTTCTAAAAAATGCTTGAAAAGTTAAAAGGGGCATTTATCCTGAAAAATACAAGCACTTCAGCTAACTATTTAAGTAGCATTGCTTAAAACAACAAGTTTTCACCTAATCTGTGAAATGTTATTTGCTACTAGAATAGAAAACAGATCAATAAAGCAAAGGGGAAGGGAAAATAGAGAAAATTGTTTCTATCATTATGCTAGCGAACATATTCTGTTTTAAGTAACCACATACCTTACTGCTATAATGACACATACCATATTGATAAAATGACAGGCCCTTGGCACGAGCACTCCTGCGAATTTCATTTATAGCAACAAGAAGGGTAGCTGAAACAACACCAAAGTTGTTGCTGAAAATGGTTAGAGGCAAAAAGACTTGTTTCAATTTTGAAGAGGGAACTTCTCTTTATATCATAGCAACAGAAATCAAGATAGCTCTGATGATAGCTCAACATATCAAGAAAGCTCTGATTATTGATAACTTTGAGTAACACCAAAGCACAGTTACTATCTTTTCTACGTGTCTCCACACAAATCAGAACAGTTATATTCTTTGACAGTTTAATACCAAAAAGGCACTCTATGTCTACTTTCCAAATGATGTGTTCTTCAACTTACTATTATATAGATAATATTATTATCTATTATTATTATTATCTATTATTATTATTATATAATTAATTATATAGATGTGTAAAAATATGAAAAGAAAAAGAAAATGCTTTCCCTCTTTTGTTTGATAACAACTATTTGCAAGAGAGTTCAAAACTTCACTGTGTAAGCAAGGATCAATTATTACTGTAATTACTCACACAGTAATCTTAAGAGATTACAAATATGTAAATAGAAATATTTCTTGAAACAGCATACCTCCTTCAGATACCAATGACCCTGCTAAAATGCAGTATGCCTGTATGGAAAAAAAAATTATTATGTTATATGCATATTTGTACAGATCTCTTCACCACAGACTATCTAAACAGAGCATTCCAGAACCTCTGTGCTGTGTAATTGTCCCTAAACAGAAGGAAACCAACAATATTTGCTTTATGGAATATACTGCAAAATAGGAAAGGAGGACCTCTTGGGAGGTATGAAGGAAGATGCAGGGTTTAAAGAACACTTTTGCTGCAAGATCAGCTGTAATTTAACAAGATTTTTTTTCTTAAAACACATTCTCATTAAGAGTGGTTTGAGTTAACTGTGTTGTGATTCAAACTGACTCAGGAAGTGAATTTCAGACCATGCCATTCTTTTTTATTAAGTCACTTGTTAAATACAATACCAAACAAGATTAGCTTACCCAGAGAAGAGATTCTATAGGATGAGGGTGGAGTAAACCTATGATCCCATGATACCAAGAAAGTCCTGCACCCATCATGAAAATGCCTACTCCACTGATCAGGGAGGCAATATAGCGCATGTTCGTGAAACCATACCTAGATGAAAACCAAGAAAGTGATTTAGAATTTACAGAATAAGAATCTGTATCTCTGCAAACATACCCCAAAGTTTTTCCACTAATTTTCACATCTTAAATTATCATCGCATGACTTGGCATCTAAGACAAAGCTGCTAAATCCCAATCTAATCCAAGGGGAAAAAAAAAGCCACTTGAAAAAGGGTATCTCATAAATGCAAGAACAACAAGCATAGATATCCTCCTAAATTGTTTTTAAACAGTTGAATTGGGTCTTGTGTAGAGACTGAGAATTTTACAACTGTAAAAAAAAACAAAAACAAAAAAAAACACAACAAAAAAGCCCTAAACCTCACCAATATTCATGATATTCATGTCAGTTTTACATGCTAGTGAACTGGTACTTCTAAATGAGAACTCTACCCTTGTAGGTAGCTGGTCTAAATAATTTAAAACGCTATTTAAAGGAAATAAAATGTATGCATCTTTCAGTAGTAGATAACTACAGACATTCAACACTTGCAGTTTTTAAGAGCACTCTTTTAAGTGGGAAGACTTAAAGTAATATTAGAAGACTTCTTTTCTGTATTAATTTCTACTACAAAAAGTACACTTTTTTAGGCATATTCAAGAAACCAGTATTTTGTTCTATTGACTATATTGAGGAAGAAGGGAAAGAAGTGAGAGAGAGAAAGGAGATACAATGAATATGTGGATAAATTTAAGATTTAAATTTTTCAAATTTTAATGATGCTTTTAATGAAAAGAAGTTTAACGAATTCTGTAAATTAGATGTATTTTTGAACTAGTGTTTATAGGATGAACGACTTGCCCAAACACATGAAGTGTAAACCAGGTCAACACCAAGAAAATGTCACAGAGAGTATAGCTTATAATTTTCATGAAGTTGTAAGAACTTATCAAGTAATATCCCTATTACTCAGATAAAAACAAAAAGCAGTTTAAGTCAAACACATCTCCTCGTGGTTGAAGTAACCGCCTTGCAGCAAAGCACTTAGTTGAAAAGAGGAAGAGGATAGTAGTTTTTATTTTTTAAAAAAATCCTGTGATTCACATGAACAGTGTTTAGATATATTCACTGGAAGAGGTAGAAGAGCCCAGAACAACTCAGAGAAATAATGTCAATTAAAATAAAACACAGCAAAAGCATAACACAAAAAACAAAACAAAACAAACCACACATGCACGAAGCCACTGAAGCTACAACTACAACTCCTGCAGCATGGAAGAAAACCCATTTCTTATTTTATCTATTGTAAAATCACAAACAAAACATTTCCGAAATGACACAAAACAGCAGATTAAAAAGAAAAGTGATGCAAAAACAAGAACTGATCTTACTCCTACATATAGTTAACAAAATCTTATTTACTCAAAAAGCTTACGGATGACTAGGGTCAGGTGTCCTTGCAGACTGACTGATGCCCAAAGCTAGCAATGCCTATTTAGGACAAAAGAAAAAAGACTTTGTTAAAAAAACCTGAACATGAAGATAAATTAGAAACATTCCATATCAACTGAACTTCAGAGATAAAGGCAAATGCAATTTCTTGATCTTCACATATGTTTTGTTACTGATATTTTACTAGACCTGAAATATAATCTTCAAAATTTGTCATCTAAATCTACCACCTCCAAGAAGTTGTTAGTTACACCTATATATATAATATATATGCAATTACATGGTGTGTGAATATATAATTACTGTTAATTATAATTTTAGAATTGCAACTAAAAGTGAACATTACATGCAATCACAAGTGTTGTTGCTGCGCTTCAGTGTGAAGGAATGAATTTTCTCAGGGAACAAAGTTGTTTAAATAAATCCTTCTTGAAGAGAAACTATACTAACACTGTAGTAGCACAGTGATGACATACTACATTTAATTGAGATTAAGTCTCATTAAGATGAGACTGGATGTGTCACTCAGTGCCATGGTCTAGTAACCACGGCAGTAGTGGATCAAGGGTTGGACTTGATGATCTCAGAGGTCCTTTCCAAACCGGCTGCTTCTATAATTCTATGAATTCTCATTTCTAAAGCAACTACTTTACACTGCAGCTTTTTTCAGTCTGTTTTTAAGGAAGACAAAAAAAATCTTGCTATCTAAATTGCCTATCTGGAATATATTTAATTAGGTATGTACTAAGCTACTGATGCAGTAAGTTACAAATCTAGACCTCAATTTTGCAAAGCATGTGTTTTGTTTCAGGACTATAAATTACTGAAACATAATAACAAGTATTAAAATTTAGACACTTTAAGTAGCAGTAGCAAACTGCTTTGAGGAAGCAAGGTTTCTCCTGAATTTTTCCCAAAAGCACATACTCAAATATTTGGGGAAAACAAAACAAAACCACATTTCAGTGGAACATTCAACTTTCAGATTTAAAAAAACCAGAATAGCTCTTCAGCTTATCTAATACCACTATCAAGCTTGATTCACCTATAAATGGACACACTTGGCCACTTCAAGGTTGGTCTCCCCATAAATTTAAGTATTATAGTTGAGTTAGTAACACCGAGTCTTCACTTTATATCTGAACAGCTGAAAGGATGTGTAAAAACAACAAACAAAATGTGAGTCCTCAACTCAGTCTTTCTGGATAGAGAAGCATACTGGGTCCAACTCAAGCAAAAAGGTTGCCAAAATAATTCTAATACACTTTTCAAAATATTCTGTCTGCTCTAAGGTCCCATATATTCCTCAAATTTGGAGGAGAACAAGACTTGCATTTTAGTAGTCACAAGCTACCCAAGGACTCCTCTTGCTTGAGCTGTAGGAGGGTTTCAGCCACTCATCGTTAAGGGTTGGGTTTTTTTGTTTCTGAAGCCTTGCTATATCAAAAACTGCAGCAAGATTGATTCTTACTACAGTGGGAGAAGGGAAAATTTCAAGGTCTCATAACATATGCCTCAAGAATACCATAGAAAACAGTGGAAAAAACAACAATAATTTTATCTTTGCACACTAATATGTGCCCAGTTCTGAGTCTGCCACACCACTTATCAAAGTAAACATGCCAAATAAGTAGCTACTTGTCCTGTGAGAGGCTGATAAGCTAATCTAAGAAGAGAAAAAGAAACCAAGATGCTCAAATTCTCATCATTATTCTACTAAGAAATGACTAAGCAACAATTCTGTCATTATATTACAACTGACAGAAGTATTTCAAGTTAACATTTAACCAAAATAAGAAGAGATACACTTTGTACATCATCTTAGTTTCACATCCCACTCATGAGCCACGAAGCAGCTGAGCATAATAGTTCTGCTTACTGCAACTCCTCTCTTTCAGCATATTTCTAAAAAAACTTCAAAATCTACATTCTGACTTGTCTCATTTTTACATTAATGCAAATTAAAAACCATCCCATTTTAATTTTTTATTCAAGTGCAATACTGCTACAATAAGTAGCTGTCTTTATTCCTGAAAATTATTATAAGTCCTAACTCTAGCAGAATGGTAAAAAATACTCACCTGGTTACATGTGTCTGCTAAAGAATGTATGGCTTCTGAAAACATACTTGCAGAACCCGTGTAAACCCAAGCAAGTAGCTTAAAGAAAAAATTCAACCCATTTCTGAAAACAAAGAGAAGAAAAAAGCTAAAGAACAACAGAATATTTGGTGCTTAATATTTTCAACAAAACCACAAATGCTGTATGCATTACCTGCCAGAAAGTGGTAAACCCAAATATCAGTTCAATCATTAAGAGACCTGTACAGACAGACAATGCATACAGAGTTTCTGCAGGGTTACTATTAAAAAAAAAAACCTTTTCAGCTAAACTTGATAAGGATATACAATTTATTTTTCCAAAACTACTAAGCAGAGTAAGTTATGCTTCCTGAAAACTACCATCACATTGACCGCTCAGAACAATAAATTTTCTACCAGGGGGAGAATAGAAGCAAAGGAGAAAACTTAGTTTTCTCCTTTTCAATTCTTTTCTTCCTACACACCCCCTCCTAACACTGAAGTGCAGGTTTCTGACTTCAGTCTCAGCCTGGGCCATTCCCAGTAGGATACAAACATAAGACAGCAGACAGGAGGACAAGGTTGTCACTAGATTACCCTGTAAAAATTACCTATGGAACTTTTCCATTTAGATGCCCAGTGTAATTTGTGGAGACTCTTTTTTAGGCTACAGGTTTACTGGAACAAACATTGTGTTATGTTGCACAAACTACAAGCACTAAAATACAAGTCTACATTGTCACTTCACACATTATAAAAATCAGTAGGTTAATTGTTACAATCATATTGCAAAGAAAATCAGACTGGAGGATTATAACATCCTCCTCTGTCTTTTTTAATATGAGTTTAACTTATCAGCAACTTTTAAAGCATCCAAATAAATTTTCATAGGTTACTATTAACAACATCTTGAAGCTGCGTTTTTTGGCAATATATGCAAGAAATTACATTTAATCAGACAAAGCACAAGTCCAGCCCTTGACATATACCAAGGTATATAGTTGATCAAATTCCAAGGTAATCCTTAAAGAATTTCTGAGAGTACATCCACTTCTTCAAGCACTGTTTTCCGTACCTCCTTCCATCCAAGGACCTGAATCTGCTTTACAATTTTTAATTTAAGTCTCATTACTTCATGGATGATGAAGCATCACCATAATTTATACGTGGGAAGTAAAAAATGCATATTAGTAGACAACCCAAGAAGAAAGGGAGGTTGTTGTAACACTAAACCATAATTTAAACTCCCTGTGTAATTAGAGTTCTTCCACCTCATGGCATAGTGCATCTTTAGCACAGAAAGAAAATGGAATAAATAACAGTGGGATTCACAAGCACAGTCTCTTGGCTTTTGCACAGTTCTTCTCCATATTGTGTTAATGGCATTGAGTTTATCTGAAGGTACAATTCATTTGTGGGGGGCCACAGCTGTTGAGATGGCTCAACAGGCACTCAGCTGGTATTTTATTTCACCTCTACAAATTCCTAAGTTGTGAGGGAATTTTATATCCTAGAAATCTAAAAAGAAGCCACACTAGGGCTTTTTAATGTTGGGCCCAGCAAAATCAATCTGTTAATGATGTCAAGTGCGTTGGTGACAGGACAGAAAAATGCAGAATGCTACACAGGAAATAATTACAAAAAACATGGCAGGTCTACAGAGCCATTAAGGTTATTTAATGTTTTATGTTTGACTAGATATTCACATGAATACAAGACAATAGAAAAAAGTCAGTTTGGGGGCAGAAAAGTAATTTTTTTTCCTACAAATAAGGTATGTATTGCTTTAAAAAAACAAATTCAGCACTGTATTTGAAAATAATAAGCCCTATAAAGCCTAAATTCTGTTGAAGGAATACCACAGCAGAAAAAAAATAATTCAAACCCAGCAGATTCTGAGAAGGCAGCTAAAAAACTCTGAATAGGTTTGAAACAAAGTTATCTTTTACATCACTGACCACCAATTCAGAAAGTATTTTCTCTATTGTACTGCACTGAACTGACTGATTTAGCTACCTCATTTCTATCTGCATGGACCTGAAAGTAGGAAACCTGAACAGAACACAAACCAAATCTAGTAAAGTCTGAAAGATTTCTTGTAAAGTTTTGGAGATCGTGCCAAGAAATACTAAAAACAAACAAAAAATCAAAGAAAAAAACCAACCAAACAAACACACACACACACACACACAAAACCCCCATGATTCATTAGATAAAATTCTATACAACTGTTCATAACTGTAAATTATAAACAAAGTCGACTTAGGAGGCAGACATTCACCAGCAAAACGAGGGGAGGAGTGTTGAAACAATACATCTCTTCTTTCCTGTCAGAAGACCTGTCAATTTTGGTGTAAAGTCTAAATTTAGTTGCTAACTTTAAAATATACTGACACATAAACAAAATCAGCATTTCTTTGAAAAGAAATACAGAAATGCAAAAGTAGATCAAAATCAATTATACAAATCAAGTTTCCCAACTTAGCAATTTAAGTTATAATTATAACAAATTCAAATAAACCTATCCTGATGGAACTGTAAACTTTAAAAAATTTAAGGGCATTAATACTTGAGTTCGCAGATCTATCATTCCAAATTTGTTTCAAAGATAATCATCTCAAAACTCCAAGATGTATATGTGGTACAGGAAATACAGAGAATTGAGAAATATATATAGGGAATTGTGCCATCATGTGACTGCCTATTTTTTATACTCTACCTTACAGCATAAGATACTTGTCTAGAAGGACCTGGTGTGAATTAACGATCTCTGTCAAAGTACATGAAATATTTAGAATTTTGAAGAAAGAACATTAAAAAAAAAAGTCAGAATTAAAAAAAAAAAATCAAAGTGAAAATATTCAGATCCATTATGAAACTATGGGAAAAAAAATCTTCTATTTAGAGTCTAGATTTGAGAAATAAACACATTTATTTCCAAAGAAGTGGTAACATTACTAACATCCTTCACCACCAGTATTTTTTTAAAAATATTATGTGCTGTGCAGACTTTGTACTGTTTAAAAGATAAAGCATTAGTGTGACAATGAAATCACTTCAACAACACCAGATTCTGAAGAATGCTTTGCTAGCAACAGATTTGATAAAAAACATTACCCTCCTGTGTTTCTGTAACAGAGCTACAGAGTTTACCCTCACACACCAAATTCTATTAATAACATAGAGCATTCCAGTGCAGCTGGTCTATACTCTCCCACACAGATCCACAGAACAACTCTGCTCTCAACTGAACCACATTTCATCCTCACTGAGGAAGGCCGAAGTTTGTTAAAAGTCTACCAAATCATTCCAACTGAAAAAGTTAAGACAGATTAGCCTTTCTTGACATAAAGCCAGAAACCATTAAAAAGAAGATCAGGACCACCAACAAAGGAGTACTGATGGTGACCTTGACTTAAACCTCTGAAAAGTCACCAGGTATTTGAGGGCCAAGAGTCACTTGAACTTCTGAAAAAGCTCCACAAAAAGATGTCTGAGCAACACGACAGTCTCTACAAACATCTGCTTGCCTGGCCGCCAGGCATTCATGTATAAAAATACCTAATCATCCAAAAGGTATTTTTGCAATGCTTATAGCAGTGCCCTATCTATAAAGCAAGAAGAAAGGTCTGTTTTCTCTATATCATTGTAAGAATGTACAAAGGAGGTAGAAATTACCTCAACGCTCCCTTTTTTTTCCATTACAAACATCCATACTAGCAATTCTTACATGTTTTTAACTTAGAAGGCTCCCTCAATAAAGAGGGAGGTTTTCAGTCAAGCGAGTTTTATATCTTAATTTCCCAAGTAAAAGAATATAGTTTTGTAGAAACTCAAAAACTTACTTCCTGCTCAAATGGGTTTGTTTCCTGTTCCAAAACAAGCATTTTCCTGTTTCTATTTTGCTCTCTTATATGAATAGTGTCTTAGCAAATAAATAGCTTTTAAAAAACATTTAAAACTCTAAGGTTTCATGAGAATAAGTTTTAGTCATCATTTCCTGAGGGAAATTTAACACACCTCTCCCTGTTTCATGCCAGATAGTCTCTGTGATCATTTGCTTTACATCAGGATCATTAATTTGTTTCATTCAAACTTTCAAGACATGTGAAAGGGAAAAAGCTCCTAAAATACCCCTTTTTCAATTAGAGAAGAAAGGAGTTAAATAACAGCATAAAGAGAAAAGGGAATTCTTTTCTGTTGGTTATGCGCAAGATTGTTTAAAATGTACGAAAATCTTATTCCTCTCAAGAAGTAATAAGAAAAAAGGACAGCTTTACTGTCCCTTCATGTCCTTCAAAATTTTACTTTAATAAACTGTTTAGTCTCCAACTCAAAATCAGACATTTATTCAATACCTGATCTGTATACATAGTGATGAATGTATTCACATCAACTCTCCTATCGACAATGAATAAGCAAATCTATTAACTTCAGTTACAAAGACACAGATATCTTTATCTTAAATACACACTGTTCCTATTTCCAGGATAATAAAAATAAATTGCTTTATATTTGCATAAACAACTTTTTTTTTTTTTACTTACATGCAAATAGCTACCATTACCACCTTCCCTGGTCCCTTGAAAAACATAGTTGCTGTACTGGAGCGTGGCTACATAAAGAAATAACAGATTATTAAACAACCAAATCTTGACCTCATGAGACACCTACCACACAAGTTATTAAATAAAAAACTTTGCACTGCCCTGTACTGCAAAAGGGAAGCTACAATCCTTGAAGATAACTAATTCACTACTGAATGTTCAGCCAAACTGCAGTTGGGCCTTATATATTTCAACAGATAGATGGCTATAAAATAGATAAACAACCAACAAAGTCTCCAGCAGAGGCCACTGCAGCTGTAAGGCCAGGCACCAGCTGTGCAGCAGAACCATTATGAAATCATCCTACACAGCAGAGCACCAGGATCTCAGGCATGTATCTGCTTAGGCAAAGAGGAAGGGCCAGTGATGCCTAGACAAAAGTATTAATCTTTTGGGTCTTTTTCCTTAAGAAACTTAATTTCTTTAAATTAACAATATATTTGCTATACATATTAATAGGTTATAAACAAAATCACAAATATAGCTACAATTTTGATAAGAAGGCAACAAAAAAAAATCAAAAACCTCTTACTAGTGGTTTACACTCACAGTAGGAACCCATTTAAACTGTCATCATAACAGTTACTACTGCATTACAGTCAGAGATCAATCTGGTATATTACAATGCAAATAATTCTTCCTATAATATTCAGTTAGTTAAGCTTATGCAACCATTACACATATTTTCCTTCAAAAAGTGTCATAGTACATCTCATGACACTTTTCCAGCCAAAAACTTGAAAACATCCTTACCTTAGTATTTCCAAAGAACTCCCTGTATTCCCACAACAGCCTTTGGTTTCTAAATAGATCTGCAATACAAAATTAGTATCATGAATATGTACTAGTAACCAATAGTTTCAAGAATTGAAGACTACTTTTTTTCGAGCAGCAGCCAACTTCTAATAAGAGCTACATTATCTATCTATCTTAGTGGAAAAAAAATTCCTCTTTTGGTATTATTAATCAGAAACAGACATTGTTATATACTCGTGCAAAATACACCCTCAGTACAAACACATACAGATACTTTAACAAGTGTCTGCAGTTCAAGCCTTTTTACTGGAAGGCTGTTCCACCTGCACAACTGTTTCAAAGAAATTGACAGGACCTCTAATTTTGAGGTGCACAACTTCACTAAGTACCTTGAAGCAGTATTGCCTCTCCTGTGATTTTAACTGCCTAGACAGATCCAAATACATTGCAAACAACTGATTTGACTGTACCTGTTACTGATAATACCAGCAAAGGTAAAAACAATAATATTAAGCAAAAAAAAGACAATTTGGGGGTATTTCTCCCCTTCTGAACTCATTTTAGAGGAAAAATAAATGAGTAAGGGTATGGTATAGAGATTTGGATCAGTTTTAAGTATTTTCAAAATTCTAAATTAATTAAAAAAAAAAAATGCAAACTCACTGAAAATGTAAACCATTATCTAAAAGTGAAAGCCCCGCCCCCAAAAGAGTATGACTATAGATCTCAACTGAAGGTATATTCTTGCTATAGCACAAAGATGATAAATTGTAAGATAGTAACAGACTGTATCTGCATAGATTGTAACATGGTACTCTAACATTATGCTGTAAAATCTAATACACAATTGTTAATTCCAAATGTAGATGTTCTCAGAGAAACAACACACTATCTGGTGGATTTCCACTAATCATACTTTGTTGTTTACATTTCAAGTTATTTGAAAACTCTGTACTCACTTTCTCTGTACTTGATCTCTGCCTCTTTACGTCGTTTTCTTTCTCTGGCAAGAGCCTCTGGACTACCCCAAACTTCAAGAGACCTGCATGAAATAAATGTACCTCAACAATGGTTCTCCTCATGCAACTTTTTTTTCAGTTTGACTACATTAGAAATGCCTTTCCTACAGCAGAACAAAGTATTCTTTCTGATAAGAACCCCTGCAGACTATAGTAGAGAATAAAAAGCTGGGCAAGAGGGAGGCTAAATACAAGCACAAAAACATACCCTCCAATTTTATATAATACAATTACATAACAATGTAGTTATTACAATAATTAGGATACAAAATATGTTCATATAGAAAATGGAAAACATTATTGCCCTTTCACATTGCACACCTGACTTTTGAAATTTTTTTCTCTCTCTCTCATATAATCCATTTTAAATATTTTAAACATTTTCCTTCATAAAAATGTTCTTACTTTGCCTCTACATCTGATCTCAGGTACACGGTGAAAGTCTCAGTGTCATCATGGGGACTTCGTCGTTTAATTTTCCTCAGCTGGTCTAAATCACTAAACAAAGTGGACAAAGAGTTTAGTGCAGGAAAAGTTTCATACTATTCTAATTTCACTTCTATATCTGGGTCATGTTCCACAATTTTGATATTATTAATCTGCTATACAAAAAAAGTGAAGTTGTTTACTTGAGTCAAAGAGAAATATACATCATATGAAGCAAGTGATCCCAATGATACTATTGAAAACCACTGTGTTTTTCACACTCAGAAGTCCAAATCATGTCCTCACACTACGAAATACTATACACTGAAGACAAAGTAATAACATTAAATAATAAAACATCCAGTGAATGATCTGCATGTAATTGATAATGTGCACATGTGCTAGACAAGGGTTAGTGAATTAGCATCTCTATAAACGGGTGTCAGAAGTCATGTGACAAGAAAAGTTAAGAACTTTAACCCCAAAACCTACACAGAGAGCACAAGCTGCAAAAGGTCTTAAGGTAACAAAGCTTCTTTGGGAAACAGATTAATTTCCTGTGCTGACTAACACATTAGGGCATCTACACTGAAAAGCATTACAGATTTCTTTTTTTTTTTTAATACAACAGAAGATTTCATTTTTAGTCCCACAAATTACCTAGTCCTTTTTTCTTTTTCCTTTTTTTTTTTTTATCCCTTTTGGTCAATCCAGCAAAACTTTAACTAGTTATGATAAATATAAGGCAGAGGACTGAGCATTATTTGTCACAGTATCCTCAGCAAAGACTAATTATAGTGACACACAGTATAAGTATAAAATGGGGAGGAACAGCAACAGCACAAAAGTTATAAACAAAGCTGCTAAGCCTTTAGATTTAATATGGGCCACATACATAACATGCACGAAATCTGACAGATACCTCAACTAAAATAACACTCAGTAAGACCTGCTGGCAGGTACGGCACATAGTAAAAGGTAGTAAATGTGAATCAAGTAACAGTAGTTAGGTTACAGCAAACCAAACTATATTTTATTCCAAATAACAGACCTCACGTAACATGAAGTTTCCACTGATTTTTTAGAGATGTTCACATTAAATCATCATGACCCCAAAATGCTGAATGAAGAGTTATTTGACATACCCCCCATAAAGTTGCCCTAGGAGTTGGTCTCCCCCCAGCTAGATTTATGGTCATATAACTACAAATAAATTACTTTGAGAAGCAACTGTTGAAACACACAAATTCAGTGCAAGCTTCTTACTGCACTGTAACAGTAGTAAAAAAGAACTAACTTCAGCCACTTACGATTATGTATACCACAAAAACACTTAGAAAAAATTGTCATGCAAAATCACTCTACAATCACGATTACTTTTGTTGCACATATGAACAAATATTCAGAATATAAATTTCAATTCAAACCCATCATACCTGGATTTAAGACAAAACTCATTAATTGCTCTGACTCCAGTGATGAAGTTATTCTGAGTGTATTTTGGTCCATACTCTCTTTTTTTAAGGACTGCTTTCACTTAAAAACAGAAACAGATAAGCAAGTTAAACCACTCATGAAGACTACAGCAGAAACTTCAAAAAGTAATTCAGTCTAGTGTCATATCTCAAAGGTGAGATATGAAAAACAATGTTTACCAGTGATATAGAAATGTACAGTGAAGAGAAAGGAATCTTCCTCATTGTGGAAATGAGTAAGAGTAGAATGATTTACCTCCAAAAACGCTACTTGCTAAGTTGTAGTTCAGGATGCTCATACATCGCACATACCTAACAGCCACTGTCAGCTACTTCTTCAGCTTGAAAGTCAGAGATGGTGCTTGGCTATACAGGTAGCATTTAAATATGGCAATTTGGAAATCCCTCCTCTAGCAACTGAAATAGCAACAGACAGTTGCATTTCTATTTTTTCCAATGTTTAACCAATTCCATCTTCTGCAAATCAGATTTTTGACCTCTGAAGACCATACAGAGAAATGAGACAGACTGTATACATCATTGTTCTCAACTATTACTTTCAAAATCAGTATGTACTAATTGGGCACTAATTAGTACTAGTATTGGGCATTTATAATAAAAACATACATTCTTTATTTATAATGCTCTGTATGTCTAGAAGAGGTACTCACATCAGATTTTCATGCACAAGGAAAAGAATACCACTCATATTTAGAAAAATGATAACGGAATTTTAGATCTATGCCATTATTTCCTGTTTAGGCACATGTACATAACTTCATCTTATTTTCAAATGTAAGTCACTATACAACCACATCCATTAAAAACATTATGCTTATTGGAAGAAGAGTTATGTTTTCTGGAGGATATAACATTACAGAATACAACTGAAAACAAAAAGCTCAAATTCTACCAGAGAGAAGACTTCAGAGCACGCATGAACTTCCTGCATATCACAGGACTGATATGATTTCTCTAGGTAGTCCAGAACTACTAATGTTAGAGGATAGTTACAGAAAGATACTGTTTCTAAAGATTTTGAAAAAAAGGCAATGTAGAACTCTGGGAAAAATTATTTCTGAGTTTTAAAACCTTAATGGCAAAATATATTGCTTGACACTCAACAATGCACTAAGAGTACAGGTATTTTTATTTATCATAATAATCTGATTTCTCTCATCCAGTTTGAACAATTTTTTAAGTACCTGAGTAATAACATTCACTCCTGAGTGAAGGTGACAAAAAAAAAAAAGGTACAGATTTCCTAAAAACAGTCCATCATTTACTAAGGTTAAAATAGAATGATAATATTTAATCAAGAATGCTTCCCATCTTTTCTTATTTAAAAAGGATATATACCCAAATCGTATTAACCTTACTAAAAAGTACCTTGTGGATTTATCAAATACTTACTAATCCATCTTTCAGTAACAAAGGTAAACTTCACTAAAATAAATTACTATAATTGTACATTGCAGAATATCTCAACAATCCTACTCCTAAGTTCAAATAATTGTATAAAACTGGCAATAAATGTAGGAAAAAAAATCCATTCGATATTTCCAGGAGAAAGACAAAATAAAAGATGATGTGCATAAAACACTCTGAAAAGCACCTTTTTTTAATATTACTAATCCTTTAAGATATCAAGTAACACTTGAATTAGAACACCATCTTAAGATTAGAATTCCACTTCCTAGACACTATCAAAATCCTTAACCTAAATGTTGTTCCTTGTGCACCTATAATCTACAGAAGGAAAACTCTTCTTCCTGAAAGATGTGTCTGTTTTTACAACAATTTCACAGTAATTTCTCCTATTTACCTTGTATTGTCTGCCTGCATGCAACTACGTGACAACAGACCTAAAGAAATTGACATAAAGGATGTAGACAAAAGTGTACAGAAAATATACATAGACAGTGACAATGTTAGGAAAAACTATTATTATTTGATGTTTCTTTAAATTTGAGAAAGACAAGGAGGATTTTGGAACGATTTTTGATACACAGAAAGCTAGGAGTGATCAAAAGTAGTTTTAGCATAATTCTCAAAACGGAAGAATAGAAACTGTTGAAATAAAGACAGAATGAAATTAAGTCATGACAAATAAAAAACATGAAAGAAAATTATGTTCTTAGTTTACCCACTTACATTTTTAAACTATGTAACTGAAGACAAAAGTATGTATTTTTGCTTGTATGGGGTTTGCATGGCAAGGTTTGGTAGTGGGGGGTTACAGGGGTGGCTTCTGTAAGAAGCTGCCAAAGTTGCCCCTGTGTCTGACAGATCCAATCACAGCTGGCTCCAGGACAGACCTGCCCCTGACCAAGGCTGAGCCCATCAGCAGTGGTGGTAGCGCCTCTGGGATAATGCATTTAACAAGGGGAAAAACAAAGCCAGCACAATGGCAACTCCAGCCAGGAGAGAGAACATGTGAGAGAAGCAGCTCTGCAGACACCAAGGTCAGTGCAGGAGGAAGAGGAGGAGGTGCTCCAGGTGCCAGAGCAGAGACTCTCCTGCAGCCCGCGGTGAAGAACCATTGTGAGGGAGGCTGTGCCCCTGACAGAGGACCAAACAGTGGATCAGGTGGATGCCCAAAGGAAGCTGTGACCCTGTGGGAAACCCACACTGGAGCAGCCTCCTGGCAGGATCCGTGGCCCCATGCAGAGTGGAAGTCCATGCTGGAACAGGTTTGCTAGCAGGATTTGCGACCCCGTGGGTGACCCACGCTGGAGCAGCCTATTCCTGAACAACTGCACCCCATGGAAGAGGGACCCACACTGAAGCAGTTCATTAAGAACTGCAGCCTGTGGGAAGGACTCAAGATGGAAAAGTTCATAGAGGACTGTCTTCCATGGAGGGACCCCACACTGGAGCAGGGGAAGAGTGTGAAGAGTCCTTCTGAGGAGAAAGGAGCAGCAGAGACAATGCATTATGAACTATGCCCAGCTCCCATTCCCCAGCCTCCTGCACCACTGGGGCCAAAAAGGTAGAGAAACTTGGGAGTAAGATTAATTCCTGGGAAGAAAGCGAGGATTAGGGGAAGGTGTTTTAAGATCTAGTTTTCATTTCTCACTACTGTACTCTGATTTGACTGGCATAAATTAAACTAACTTTCCCCAAGTCAAATCTGTTTTGCTCATGACAGCACTCGGTGAGTGGTCTCTCCCTGTCCGTATCTCGACCCATGAGCATTTCTTATATTTTCTCTCCATCTGTGGAGGAGAGTGATAGAGCAGCTTGGGTGGGGAGCCGGCACTCAGCCAGTGTCAAACCCACCACATTACTACAGACACAATCAGGAATATTACAGGACTCAGATTAGGCAGTTCCTGCGGTCAAAATATATTTAGAAGCAACACTGATTAGATTAACTCAGTACTAAGAAAGAACAGAGGAAGACTTAGAACAAGGAACAGGGGAAGATCAAGTATTCAGCTTAGCCACATTAAGTCTGAGTTGGTGAATGGACATGCCTAAAAACATGAAAAGAGAACAGATCATGATAGCAGATAAGAAAATAAACTAGTCTTTTCCCGCAGCTTAAATGAAACAATTAAAAACAAACACAGAAGAGTAATTAGAAGGAATACTCCTATATTTGATTTTTCAGGAACCATTTTCAAACGAATGGATATTACACAAATCTGACATACAAATGTGTTTTAAAAATGTTATTCACATAACTTCTTTACACAATTGAAGAGAAACCACAGTTTCCTTATACACTTTTTTTGACTATTAGTAAACAGCAGTAACGCTTTGATGCAGTAAACATTTCTTTACCTTTTACTTGAATTGGCTGTTTAGGCAAAGACTGCTTTTGACCTGCATTGGTTGCATCTTGTCCTGTAAAATAAAAGTAAAGATCACTGCAAATATGAAAGTAAAGAGTTTGGTTGACATAACAAAATAAGAATAGATCTTAATAATGCTTTTCACCCTGACCATTAAAAATATATTTGGTACGTTTCCAACATTTAAAACTCTCAAAAGACAGAAACAGTAAAAAAAAAAAAAAAAAACACAACAAAATTAGACATTTAATACAGCATTGATCAATAGACTCCTAGCAGCTTGAAGAAGAGCAGAAAGTTTCCTGAATTAAAAAAAAATATTTTAACAGTGTACTTATAGTTTGGGACAAGTTTTTATAGCTTATGGCTGCTGTATGTCAGAGTGTCTCAGAGCTTAATATTTGGAAAATTATAAAATCCAGTAATTTCAATGAGATTTCTATTTAGAAATCAGAAGTACTACTGAAAACACAAACAAATATTGCATCCTTGTCTCATGTATCTTGACATAGCTTTCAGAACAAAATTCTTGTAATTCTAACACATCAAACCAACATATCCACTCTTTTGTGCCCTACCATTCTAACATTGGAGGTTTGCCACGCAGCCATAATTATTAACAAAATTAAAAATTACATCATTGAAAGTGATATATTAAAAATATAAAGACTTTTCAAGCAGGTTAGTGTTAATTAATGTGATACTCTTAGCTTAATAGGCTACCCAAACTACTCAAAGATCAGATATTCTTGAAGGTTGGACTACATAACTATTCCATCAGGGAATTAGTTAATGCCCTAACAGCAACTGAGGACTACACCTAATAACAATTCAAATACACTTTCTTGGAAAAATAACACATATAAATTTATGCAGCTGATCTTGTTACACAACAAATAAGGCTGCACCATAAATAAACATCATTCTTTAAACAGTCATCCCTACTGGTTACTGTTTGACTTGAAAACAAAAGAAAAAAATTCCTTTGTTGTTCCTTTACTTTCTTTTCTTACCTGGTTTAAAACACCAGACAGCTGATGCATCAATATTCATGAAAAAAGTTTCCACTACGATTGCTTAGGAAAAACTGAGTAGCACTGTCTTTTCAAAAAACGTGTACAACCATTTATATCATTAAAACAGATATCACAAACACAGTTTAACAAGAGATGGGGTCACAAGATTTCAGATGGGGGGAAAAAAGGTATAAAAATATTAGGATTTATATCCATGCACAGGTATCTATGTACATCAAGTGCCCTTTTGAAGACTACAACCTCAGCTTACAGACTAAACAAAATCATAGTGCATCACTGAGGAAAAACATATGGAATACTTCAATTCACACTCACTGTTTTTGAGACAAGTAGAGGTTGTTATGATAGAACCTTCAAAACTGAACAAACATTTAAGATCCACTTCTGTACTTCCAAACATCAGAAATGTAATACTCTTAGCTGGCTACAATTACTAGCTTTTAAAGACTGTTGCAAGCCTCAGGAATTTACAAGTTACTGAAGAAGGAAGGAACATCTGCTATCCTGACAATAAACAGAAGGAAATTTTCTTTAGAAGACCACTTGGTTGAAGACAAAAGCACAAAGAAAGACAGCTCTCATTTTAAAAAGCATCTGTTATCTTTTAAGCACAGTAGTCTTCCAAGCCTGTATCTGTGCAGTCCTACACTTAATAAGCATCAAAAATAGAAGATGCTAAGATGGAGCAAGGACAAGACAGTTCTGAATTTCACAAGCACCTATCAAGCACAAGATTGACAACTGAACTGAACTGCAAGGAGGGCCAGGTTATGTACAATGTATCAAACGTTTAATGTGAACACTGCAGTTCTAACAAGCACCAGATTAGAAAGCTCTAGCAGATGAATCAGCTCAACCTTCTTTACCAGTCATTTATACCCTGGCCTGGAGAAGTCACAATGCTCAACAGTCACACTCATTCAATCTTTACCATTAGTTCATTTCACACAACATATCTGAAATACTACCAAAAAAATTCATATAAGCAAAGTGGTGAAAGATGAGTAATACATTCCATCTCTTATCCCTTAAGTTACATAAGCCTTTCAACATTCACCTTTTATCCTGGCCAATTTAAATTTGATTCCTCTAAACTTAAATCCTGTAAATACCAGAATGCCAAAGAAATAAATTTCAGCATTCCTCCCCACTTATGCATTTGAAATTCATATATAAAGGCCCACAATATACAAATACTAAGAACTCCGCAATGATAATATCACACAATTGAAAGAAAAAAGTTATCACTAAATACCTTCAGTTTTTACATTTTTATAGATACTCTTTATTTTAGCTTAGTACTACCTGTTTCAGCCTTATTTAGGGTTTCTTCATGGGCTGACTTATTCGTATCTTCTGATCCAAGATCTTTTTTCTGACCATTGGATGTATAAACTCTCACTTGACTCATCAACTGCACAGGCAGGCGATTGCATGGCAGAATATAAGATAGGCTCCCAATTTTCATTGAAGCTTTCCATCCTAACAAGGGAAGGAAAAGCAGCTGTTTCAGACAACCATTTTGGAAGGAAAAAGAAGGAAAAAGCAAAATTGGAGTATATGGCATGTTTTCACTGCCTCTCTTCAAACAACCACTTTTAAATTTCATTTTAACACTAGTGATTTTTACCCACACAATCCAGTGTGGATTTTTTCCCAAGACCTCTGGATGATCTTAAAATGTTAAAAACAAACAAACAAACAAACAAAAAACCACCACACAAACCAAAACAGAAACAAAAACCCAAACAAAACCAAACAAAAAAAAACCCACAAAGCTATCTGACAAGATTAGCTTACTGATACATTAAGTCACATTTTAGTCATGTTCCCCCAAAATCTTTAAAAACCAAGTATTGATAAAAGAATAAATACAGACCACTACAAAACTATTAGCCAGTGCTACCATTTCATACAAACCACAGCTTACCAATTACAAAAACTCAACTGTGTGCATTACCCACTTGCTACAGAAATAGTGTAGAAAAGCACACAATATTGTATAAAATACTTTTTAAAAGCCCATTGACAAATCACCCTAGGTAGGTAATCTCCCATTTCAAAAGATTAGCCAAAAGCAGAGGTGCATGAAGTACAGACCAACCTGTATCAGCAACCAGTTTCTTTTAGAGAACACAAACACTCCTGTAGAGAGGGCATATAACTCCTCCAACTAGAAGAGCAGCAGGGAAACTGGCTGCTTTGGAAAGCACTCACTAAAAGAATAAATAAGGTGTTTTTAAATAAGCAAGCAGTGTTGGTAAATCAAGTCATGCAAAGCATGACCACTCATATATGAATAACACACTGCTCATAAAAAAGGTACTATTTTATAGAAGTGTTTATTCTGTTAAAGTCCCAACAGCTTTCCTTTTTTTTTTTTTTTTAGCCTTCTGCAGTACCAAAGCACCTGTATGTGTGCATGCATTGACCTGACCCTTATTGAAGGAAAAAAATTCACCAAAAAGGGTAGATAAGCTCTCATTGACTAACAGTTGTCACAAATGGGACAAAAGCCCTGAATACTCAACACAGCTCAGTGAATCAGTTTATTGGTTTCAAATTTATAAAGCACTACGATAAATATATGGCACAAGATGAGCAGTGTTGTTTCCTAAGCTTTGGTGTTACTGCAGCACTTGAAAAGGGTAAACTTCATCAGCACGTTTAGAGGACATTTTTCTAACTCATCCACACACACACGAAAACGTTAAAGGGTATTTGCTGCAATTCAGCCGTCAGTGGCTGCACGAAGAGGGACACAACTGAGGAGAATTCAAATGTCATGAGATCTGTGGCCTAAAGGAAAAGCCGGGACTCGCTCCTCATACCAACACAAACCCTGTCAGGCCGCGCTTCATTTTATGCAATTCCTGCAAACTTCAGCCCCAACACGGGCATGACGTGACCGCCTTGCGTCAGACGGGGCTGCCGGGGCCCGGCCCTGCGCTCGCAACAATAACTTAGGCGTTTTCCTTCCTGTTGTCCAAAAATCTGGACGTTTTTCCTTCTTTTTTAAAAGCCGACTCGCAGAACGCAGCCCGCGTTCCGGAGCAGCGCTGCTGCCTCGGGAGGAACGCCGGCACTCGCTGTGCCCCAGGCAGCTCCATCACAGCTCCCTGCGAGCCCCGGCCAGGGCGGTGCGGCGGGCCGTGGGCTCCCCGCGGGACTCACCGTGGCAGGAGCGGGGCCCCGGCGCCGCCTGGCACCGCAGGTACAGGCGGTAGAGGCCGCGGCAGCCCCGCCGCTGGGCGGCCAGGGCCGGCATCATGGTGGCGGCCGCTCGGCAGCGGCCGGCGGGCGGGCGGCGATGCGCATGGGACGAGGCCGGCGCGGCGGCGGAGCCCGCTGGCCCCGGGCGGCGGCGGTAGCCGGAGGCCGGCGGTGGTAGCCGGGGGCAGGCGGAGGGCGGCGCCGCGGACCCGGATGTGCGGGGGAACCGCGGGGCCCGGGCGGGCGGGACCCCCCGCGGCCGCCGCTGACTCAGCCGCCCCGCCCGCCGCGCCTGCGCCGCGGCCGCGCCTGACCCCGGGGAGCGGTGGGAACGGCCCAGAGCGCGGCCTTCCCGCCTCGGGAGGAGCTCCTGCACTGGGACTGCTCATTTACTGCTGCTGGTAAGGGGATAACGCGTACGGGCGGGCGTAACATACGTTACGTGCTAAGGCTGTTAATACAGCTAAAAACGCGTAAAACAGGGGGGGTTTACAGGATCACAGAATCAGTTAGGTTGAAAAGACCTCGGAGATCATTGAGTCCAATCTGTGAGCGGTCACCACCATGTCAACTAGACCATGGAACTAAGTGCTGTGTCTAGTCTTTCCTTAAACATCTCCATGGACGATGACTCCACCACCTCCCTGGAAACTCATTCCAATGTCTAATCATCTTTTCTGTGAAGAAATTCTTCCTAATGCTCAACCTAAGCCTCCCTTGGTACAGCTTAAGACTGTGTCCTCTCATCCTGTCACTTGTTACCTGGGAGAAGAGAGCGACCCCCACCTGGCTACAGCCTCCTTTGAGGTAGTTGCAGAGAGTGATAAGGTCAGCCCTGAGCCTCCTTTTCTCCAGGCTAAACAACTCCAGCCAGCTCCCTCAGCTGCTCTTCATAAGACTTGTGCTCCAGACCCTTCACCAGCTTCATTGCCCTTCTCTGAACATAGATAACATTAAACCACATACGCTAAACCTGTTTGTGTGATTTTTTTTGAAAATGAAATCCTACCCTAAGCCCTCCATTACAACGCACTTCTCAAATCAGTGCTGATAAAACGAGATCTGATTCAAACCGATGTCTTTCTCCAAGGAAGAGTGCCCTGGAGCTAATCCTGCTCTCAAGGGTTGTAAGGGCTGCCTGTGCCCAGCTGTGACACCTCCTCCTGCTCTGCTCACCTACAGCCTGCCTCAGGACCATGCCTGTAATCAGTCCCACTGACATCAGATTACAGGCTTTCTTAAAAATTTTTTTTTCAGAATAGCTTTGAAACTAGTTTACATGATGCTGAGAAAACGTCTTTGGCTTCCTTGTCTTCATTTGCACCCTGGGAGGAACATGGGAGCTCACCAGAAGTTAGCTTGGCAGGGAATTTGGATAATTAATGTACCTGATAATCCACAAAGCATCCTCTCACTGAGGAGAGTTATAATGGTGCTTGTCATTAACACACCCAATTAAATTTTGAACAAGGTTTACTGGCACATCTTTACCACTCAGCTATTGGGTAACACTGCCAATGCAAGTTTTCCTAGAAGCGCAGCGGAGGCAGATCAAAGTAAAAGACTTGCATGAAATAATTAACACCCATCTTCCCAGTAGTCCAATTGCAGACATACCAAGTGAATCAGGAGTATAGCAACAGATGCTATATCATTAAGTACCAGATGTACAGCAATGGAGTTAAATACTTAATAGATTGTAAGTTGTAAAGTAGCACAGGCGAGGTCAATTCACCTATTTTAGTTGGAGTCTAACATGCAGTTGATATATGTTTTGCTGGCTTCTTGTTATTTTGGCAAGAGCTTAACAGCAAAAAAAAAAAAAAAAAAAAAAAGAAGAAACATGAGGTCAAGAGTTCCCTATTTTTCCCTACATAAAGTTATTTGAAAGAAGATAAAAATTCTTGAAACATTTGCAACTCCTGTCTCTGCTATACTCTAGAAGAGATGCTAACTTTATCATTTCCTCTCTAAAACCAAATGGAACTATTATTTCGTATTCTTTTATCCATCAGAATAACTGAGTTTGCCTTGTCTGATTTTGTTGAGGTAAATATGAAACAGGAAGAAAAATAATAAAACTGAAATGCCATAGACAGATTAATGGATACTAACAGTGTGGTGGTCAACTGGAATTTACATGATCAACTGCTCTGCGTGACCCTTTATATTGACAAACAGGGAAAACCGATGGAAACAAAAAACAAGCAAAAGAGCATCAATAACAGCCTGTTCTGCATGGGATAGCCAAGTACATAAAGCAATTGATAATGAATTATCAAGATTTGTGGCATGCAGCTGCAGCATCCTAAGAAAAAAATATCAGGTTTATTTATGAGCATCTTAATCATTAGTTATCAATCACTAGCAATGAACAGAGAAACACTCTAAATGATAGAGTATTTTGGCACATCCAAACTACAACTTTTTGCCTGTGGCAAGGATTACTATGTACAGTCCAACAGAATTGGTGAGATCTCGTTTTCATTCAGTATAGGCACAAAATCTCATTCCTGTTCAAGTTGCTAAATGCTGAACTGATAAAAAAGTACTATGTCTATATACCATGCTTGTACATGGGCTTTTGTGTCATCTGAACCTCTGTCTAGGGGACAGAAGTTCTGGGGATATTGCTCATCCAAGGAAGGAGGCTGGCTACCATATCCGAGTCATTTCCTCAGGCCTCCTCTTGCAAAAACTCTAGAAACTTGTTTACAGCATATTATCTTGCCTATAAAAAATTATAAGTTTAAGTTGCCTTACCAGGTCTTCAGGAAGAACAAGGACTGTGGTAACAACCTTTTAAGATTTAGAACCTGTTTTGTGGAGACACTTAAAAAGTTTACATAGAACTGCTTGCAGATCAAGAAAGACAGGTGACTGGACTGAAATGTAAACCTTTGGAAACTTTTTTCCTAGTTCGTCTTTATTTAAAATAACTAAGTAACTGGCTGGATTTCTCAAGCTGATGGATTAAAACAGTCTATCATGATGAAATTCTCCAATATTACTGCCTAGCAAGAAATCTGTGATATGTGAAGGCTAATAAGCAGTGAAGGATGTTAGTGTTCCTTATATGAAAAATGAAGTTATATAAAGCCAATTTGAGTATTTTTTAATCTGAAATTCATTAAATATTTCAGGCTCATACAGTGGAAGAGACTTGAAATGTCCACAGATCCACATCAAGAGCTGATGGTGATGACTTAATATAGTTTATATTACACTTCAGGACTCCCATCGTATCCTGCCTTGTGCGTCTCTCATACAGCACAGCAAGGGACAAGAAACAGAGAAGGTAAAAGGAAAAGACTTTATTTTTGTACCTTTTATGATACTACATATATAGTTAACACCAAGCAGCTACATACTGATAGTTCAAAAAAAGTATGAATACATAAAGTGTCCAGTGATCCCAAAGAGCCCTTAAGTTTTTCAAGTAAAATATTTAAATTCACAGAAAAATAAGAGAATATTTTGTGGCAGGCAGGTGCATGAGGGGAATGACTCTTCCAAAGCATAGAATGGTGACTCTACAGAAGTTTGCATAACACCGCTCTGAGTCATGTAGGTCTGGAAAGTTATTTCATGGTCACTGGGTCAGAGATCTACATAAACTAAAAGTAAATATTTTTATTTCCAGCACATGGATAAGTGTTTGCAGTTATTCACATGCAGTTCATTTCCCTGAACACCAGCAGTCACGTGCAGTTTCTTGAACTGGGTGCAGCAGTACTCAACCCAGCAGCAGCAGCAGCAGCTACTGAGTGCCAAAGGAAAATAAATCATAAAGAGGCATTATTCTGCTGGGAAAATGAAATGGAAAATGACTCTCCTGTAGCCAGTAGACTCGTGAGGAGCACATTACATTACTAAAACATTCAGCTTCATAGTTGCAAACCAGCCACTAGAGGTCAGTGGTTTGGAATAAAATAAGCACAAGAAGGAAAAATTCAATTTCATTTCAAATGGCCAAATCATATCAAATAAAATTTCCACCCTTTGAGTAAGGAAAAAGTACTCTTAAGGTTAGCAGTGCTTACCTTCATCACTGAAGCAGAAAACTACTTTAAAATCCATAAAAACAATACTAGGTACATAATATACCCAAAAAAACTACTCTTATTCTCTACAGTAATATGCAGATATGTATAAGAATGCAGGACTGTAGGAAGTTTCTTGCATCATCAGGTCCAGTCTCCTGCTACTCCACCTGTCCTATAATCCCTTACATGACGAAAGAAAGGACAAACTTAAAAGCAGCTTGATTCTTTTGCTTATAAGAAAAAAAGAAGAATTACAAGAATGTTAAGTAAGCTCAGTCAGTACTTTGGAAGTGCATAAAGGCAGGATATTAAAAGGACCTGTGCAGTGCAAGAATCTTCTTTAAAAACTATTTCTGTTATAAATGTGTAACACTGCAAAGAGAAAAGGCTGACAGAGGGCAGGAAGAAGCTTTTTCATCATAAAGTGCAAAGTGTATATCCAAATACAGAAAAAACCCTCAAAATATTATGTTTTATTTACTCATTTATCCGCTGCTGTAAGCGTACATACACATTGATGCAACTAAACATCTTACCTCTGCCCCACAGTGATATTAAAAATTTTGAGATAATTAGAAATAGAACCACTGGCTGCTCAAACACATGCACACTGAACTAGTGCTTGATGCTATAAGTGTAATTTTCTAAGGTTTCAGTATTTCTCTGTATTGTAGAGTTACGCAACTGAAAATTCCAGTGGACACAAAAATTCAGAAAGTCAATCCTAGATTTCCATCTGCTATTACAAAAAAGCTGCCATTAATTATGGTGGGTTCCCAGCTGGACTGGGGACCCTGGAAGGGATAGAAACTAAAGAAGGAACTCTTGTATAGGGCAGGGTGGCATGCACAGACCCGGAAGGTGTAACAACATGGTTTTCCAGCAGAGTAAGCTGAGTCATTGTTATGAGACATGGGGAGTGGGCAGCTCTGTCATGCTGATTCAGCAGAATGACATAATGTTGCAAACTGCCAATCGAGGGTTATTTATGTAACTTGAAAAACAATAATGATTTAACATGTGTAGCCTAAAAAGTGTATCAAACCTGCTGCAATATGTGCAATAAAGGTTCCAGTTCCTGGATCCAGAAGAGTCAGCATCGTTTCGTCCCGCTCTGACCCGTGACATCTGGTGACCCT